TACAATGTGTGTGTGTATGTATGTATATGTGTGTGTGTGTGTGTGTGTGTGTGTGTATAAAAATCCAATATGCATTCTCTATGAATCCTCATCAACCTTTCCATTCCAACATTTATGGTGCAGCATCCTAATCAAAATGTAAAATTGAAAAAACTTGCCTATACCAACATTCTGCACTGTACAGCGAGATTAAAAAATGGTTTATAAATGGGTGTTATGGGCAAAAACGTTCTTTTTCTGCAGACATTTAAAGATTGGTAAACAAAATAAATAAGACCCTTCGATTTTGCTATAAAAATAGAAAAGACCTAACCTGATTTGTTCCAACAATAGCTAACCTCACATATTAAATATGCTATCTTTCCGAGGGTCTAGCTTGACCCCTCTGAGCAGTCTTCTTTATTAGCATCTGCTTATACAGAGGACCTAACCACATGCAGCTTTGAGATGTACAACGGCAAGAACTGATCAGGGAAGACTCGAAGGGATCACTTTGTGTCACTTGCTGTTTGCAGTTTCCATTTCACAGACGATTAATCTTTTTGTGAATAAAGGCCACAGAAACAAAGCGCATCGGGCTTTTCCTGCAGTTACTACTCCTGAATGCACACTAGCCTGCTAACTAGAAGGCCTTTAGGTTTCCTGCCGAGAGAGATGTTCCAAGCCTGAATGCAGCTGGTTAGGGGTCAGCAGAGCAAGCCACTTGCCATTGTGTAATGGAGGCTTTGGCTTGGCTCACTTTTTGCAGGCTGGGTGGCGGAAGGGGGCAGGGAAACGATTTTTGGCAAAAAAAAAAGCTTATAAAAGGGGATGTTTGGCACAGCAGACATCATTTCACAGAGCTTTCCATGCCAATAATCATCTCTGTATCTGTTTCTTTGGCTATTGAATCAAGGTTTCTTTTCATTGTTCCCATATTCTCCTCACAGGCCGTGTTAATAAGTGTTTGTTTATTGCATGCAGAGCTGTGTGAGGGTTTCTACGTTCTATATTGACACTGCACCATTTTGTGCGTTATAATGCCTATTTATTGTCATTTTAATGGTTGTTTATGGGTAAAGTAATTCTACAAGAAACATAACATTTGCTAAATTTCATTCATTTGTTTACATTTATAGTGAATTTTTATGATTTGATTTTCCTTTGTTTATTATGTTTTTATTTTTTTTTTATCTTTCGTAATCACATTTAAAGGACATGGGGCACAGAATAGTTTTAACAATTATTTAAATATTCTGGCGGAAAGAAAGTTTGTGATTTATTGGAAAGGGTGATAATAACCTACTTGGACAGCACTGAAACAAAACGCTAAAATGAACAATGGTGACAGTGCGTTCGTTTGACCCTTTCGCTCTGAGTCATTTTAGCAATTTTTTTGTGTGCACTTGTCTAAAATGCACATTATAGGCCTGAAGATTACTTAAAACCCACCCAGTTTTGGTATTACATTAATCGTCAGGTTGATTATTGCCTTGGTTTGATGTGCGGCCATGTGGCCCAGATACTATGTGAATTCTCTTTGTATCCCGCCACTTTGTTTATAAATAAGGAATTTGAAAAAAAAACCACCCAGAATTATATATTTGCTAAAAAGCAAAGACTGATAAAATGGTGGCAGTTGCAGTTTTTTATGTCACATGATATGAGCGTATCTGTTTTATCAAACCCAAATTTTGTCAAAAATACCCTTGCATTAATTTTAGTAAACATAATATATTGTCCAATTTTTGGCAAAATGGAAAAGATGAGGTTGTGCAAAGTAAATCGATACCAAACATGTCAAGCTTTAAAATTGCTCAAATACCCAAAATGTTCCATAAGCAATGCAGTGATTTCTAACGTGTGGCACAGTCGTCGTTTTAATACGCAAGCACACCTGACGTGTGTTTTTTTTTTGCTAGTATGTGCATGTACGAGCCGAGCAGGGGACTTTTTTTTTTTATGTTTACATGATATTCATTTTAGTTTTAAAACTTCTTTTTTTTTTTTTTTTTAACTCTATTGCTATTACATAGTGGCTCATAAGCTCCCTATATGTGATGGTACTTTATTGTTGACAGGTTCTTTTTAAGAGGATATTAGGGGTCAATTAGTCTGAGAAAAAATTAATGGGTTGCATTTATCTGTGGATTATGTTAAATTTTATAAACTATGGAAACACTTTTGATTAGACCAGAGTTTATATTTAAGGTGTATCTGAATCCATTTTTTAAAATTTTGGATAGAGGTGGAAGTGGTTAACCTGTCCAAGTTTTTTTTTGTCGTTCCATTAGGGTGATTTCCCATCATTTTCTATCCTGTAGACACAACTGAAAGTGAGAAGAAGGCTTTCCCAAGTGAGGGAAAACTCCTTTTAGACATTTGTCATCCCAGCATGTCCAAATGTCATCATTGGAAGATTTCTCCTCTACCACCCGTGTTGGTGGGAACTCAAAAAAATGTTTTTTTCCCTTCCTGGACATAGGTTCTCACCCCTCACCATTCTATCCGAAAAACTAAAATAAATAAATAAATAAATAAAAGGTTTTGGCTGTACATACACTTTAATACTAATCTTTGTTTCGGTAATTTATAAAACAGATGATTTTGTTATTGTTAAGCTTTCTTTTTCAAATAAAGATTTTATCAAGCAATATTTATGTTTTTTTTGGGGAAATGATCATGTGCATTGTTTGGTTTTTGTTTGATTTTTTTTTTTTATTGACTCTACAATTTTGTCTCCCTGTTAATTTACCATAGGATATAATGGGCAAAGTAAAAACCTGGGTGATAGATGAAAAGAATCATGTCCGTTATTACCACGAATGGAACGACAAGGAGGTAATGGTTTTACTTATGTCTTTCTCAAGTGGCTGCTGCCCTAATACCTACACACAGAAATAAGTGAATGTCACCACTCCAATTGCTACAGACTTTTGCTGACATTTTGCTTTGCAAAGTAGTAATTCACCTATTTCTCCTTAATCAAGGGTCTTCATACACCTTTTCATATAATGCATTATTGTTTAAACCCAAGAACAACATTTTAATATAGTGCACCATACGAGACCTTAAAGGAGAATTATAGGGAGAGTGACATACACTCATCCCCATAATTAGAGCCGACATGTGACATTGAAGCTGTCACAGGTTGGCTCTATTGATCAGGAACTGAACGATCACATACCATTGATCGCAAGTTTCCAATCTTCTCCCTGCAGAGAGTGGCGACTATCAATCAACTCTCTCCGCAGGGATTCCTCCCTCCCTCTCTTTTCCTCCACCACTGACTGGAGGAATAGACAGGGGGAGGGGCCCGGGCACAGTTGGCTCTGCCTCTAGATAGGCAGAGCCAGCTGTCAATCAGGTAGCTAGGTGGATCCCGACAGTATTGTCAGGATCCATCCCGGCTGCAGCACAGCTCTGCCCTGTTTTGGATGACTGCACCCCGGATATCTTTTTCTTATTTTTGCACTTTATGAACAGATATAACAATACTCTTTCAATGGTATAGTCAAAAAGCCAAAAGGGAGCAAATAAGAGAAGTTCATTGTTTTTGGAATTGGACACTGGAAAACAAAAAAGCTTTTGGCCAATTAGATATATCCCTCCCAGGATGCTTCAGATTTTTCCTAGTGTCCTCAGAGGATTGATGTCTTTTTGTCTGTTGAACAAAGTTTACCCATTTTTACCAGACTCTCTATTTTTCCCGAGAATATTTTTTTTACTTGAATCAAGAATTCCATCTTATTTCTGCTGAGCGGGGGCTCTTTTGCAACTATTTGTCTAATGCCAATCTTCGGCATTGCCTTGGAGACCGTACCCAGACCCCAACTGCACTGAAAATATGGGGTCTGTCTGAAATGTGATCTTAGGGCACTGGTCTGCTTGTGACACTTCAAATCCTGTCCAAATCCCTCTTTTCACTGGCAGGCCCTGCTATGTAGCCTACCATTGCTGTGATTTCAGTATCAAACCTTAGAAAATGGATCAAACTGATGCCTGTACAACCACCTATTACTCTTTTGGAAGTTAAATCTTGCTCTTTAAAGGCGACTTTTTAAACACGTAAGGGATATTACCCCTTCTACTCACACAAGGTGGCTTTCCTTTTCGCCATCACTTCTGCGAGGCATGTGTCTGAGCTGCCGGTCTTGTCCTATAAAGAACCACTCTTGTTCTTACCCAAGGTTAAGGTAGTGTTGAGGCACTGGGCCTCCTTCCTTCCTAAGGTGGTTTCAGCTTTTTCTTCATTTTCTGGATGTGGTTCAGGTTGTGAGAGTTTATCACTCAGGTACTGCTCTTTTGTCATCCCTTATGGTCCCTGTATGGGGTGCCCAGCTTCTCCCTCCACCATTTCTAGATGGGTGACAAATCATTCTCCAAGCTTATGGTCTTAGGCATAAAGTTCCACACTTTCCTTTTAAAGTGCACTCTACTTAGGTCTATGACTGCTTCCTGGTCTTTTCGGCGTCATGCAACTGTTTCCCAGATTTTCAAGTGTGCTACCTGTTCTTCTGTATACACATTCTCTACGTTTTACCAAGTGATGTTCAGGCCTCATCTGAAGAAAGCTTTGGGTATAGGGTCCTTCAGATAACACTTTGAGTCACAAGCAGTCCTCATTTTTCCTGTTTTTTTGTTATGTGGGTCTGTTTTTCTTTTTTTTTTTTTGCATTTCTTTACTGTGCTGCCCGTTCTTCAGTTGGACTGCTGTTGGACATCCCAATCATCTCAAAATTACTACCTGTGTCCCTTAATGAACCAGTAAGAAAACAGAATTTTTGCGCTTCATTAGATACACAGGTCCCAGTCCTCTAAGTTTGTGATCTATATTCGTACTTCTTTCAAAACTGAAGCATGATGGGACTGAAAGTGGTTATTCTTGGCTGGTCAATGGTTTTTTGTTTGCCAGTGTTCATTTTTCTGGCAGTATAACCAAATCGTCTCAGAATTACTGCTGATCCTGTGTCCCTTAACTAACTCCACGAAACAGATTTTACAGTAATTACAAACATTTCTGTTTGTCCTCACCAATTATTCTTTATTAATGTTTTCTAATGTAAATATAAATAAAAATTAGCTTTTTTTTTTATTAATGTACTGTTTATTTAATAGAGCATGCAGCTAAAAGTTAACCTGTACTTTGTCCATTCAGAACAAAGTAACAGATGTGCATTAAAGCAGGGAAGCTAGAAATCGTATCCCTCCACTGTATGCCCCTGCCATCTGTTTGCCTGCTGGAGCCCATTGAAAAATCACTGTGTATGTCCAACACAGATCGGGGTCGCACAAAGCTAAGGCCCCCTTAGTTTAATGTTTTAATTAAAATGAAAAAATAAAAACATCATGCTACCTAACCCACACCCCTAGAGATAATTCTGCCTAATTCTGATGATGGTGGCTTTTTTGACACACCAAAGGCAAAGCTGAATTATGTATAGAGAATCTAGCTATTAATTCTAATTAAAAAAACAAGCGTGTGACTTGGGTGCTATGGCGATTGTAACAGACCTCTCTGCTTGGATTCCAGACAGCTTCAGTAATCATTTTCAATATTAAGAAACTCCATTATCAGCCAGCATATTGCATACAAGGCTACAGTGCCAAAAAACAAATATCTCATACAATGTATAATAAATAAATCAATGTTCCAGAAGTAGCCTGCCATTGCTGAATGTCCTTCGCTGTACCCATAGCTCTAATGCTATACAACTCTGCCTGGTCCTGACCCTGATTTCATCCAACAGCAAAAGCCCCAGCTCCAAACGGTGATATCACTTTGCTCTCTCACGCTGCACTTTTCCTCCTTTTAGTTTGTAGCAGTTTCAGGGATAAAGGTGATAAAGTAGTGCAGCAAATATATAGCTTTATTTAAAATACCAACAAGATGGGGAAAAAAAGAGAATTAAGGATGCACACTGTGCCTGACCACAGTATCATCTATTGCCTTAATCAGGCAAACCTAGTTGAATTTTCAGCGTTGGCTGGGCTTGGCTTTTAAAAGCCACTTATATTTCCATTTTGAATGGAGAGTGTAAATACAAGATCCTGTCAGATTTTTACTTTTGTTTGAGACACTGGCAGAGAACCAACACCCTTAGAATATGGTGACCTGCTGTGTTTGTCTTTTTCAGCAGAACTGGTGTTGCCAATTGCCTAAGAAATTTCTGTATATTGTCATCGAGAATCTACTAGAGAGTGAATGATTCAGTATTTGTGTCATGTGGCTCAAGTCGAAGTTTCATGGGGAGTTGGGGCATGTGGTGTTACTGCCTAGAGTAAGATACAGATATGGTTACAGACTACAGTAAGGTTTGGGTGGGGGCCGAATACTTGTCTTATGCCATCTAATATGGAAAAATCTATAGTGTATACTGGGAACCACATTCCTTTTACATCCAGACTACATCTTCCTCTTTGTTGATATCTGTGTTCCATCAACTTTGTACAGTGTTCGATAAACGAATTCTAACATTCCTTCAAATTTGTTGACAGACATGTTGGCATTTTAAAGTTTTTTTTCACAGTGTTCTCTTTTCTGCTCTTTTTTTTTTTCTCTTTTCTAGATTGAAGTGCTTAATAAATACTTATTCCTGACCTCCAAGCCAATGATCTATCTAGTCAACCTCTCTGAAAAAGACTACATCCGCAAGAAAAACAAGTGGTGAGTCGTTATCGGACAGTATTATTCTGTCTGACACTTGTGTAAGAAAATCACACAGACAATGTTTCACAAGCATGAAACGACCAGGTAACACATAATATACTCGGCTATTAGGCTGTCTCTCTCTCAGCTTCAGATTGAACTAATACAACTAGTTTTCACTGCTCTGCCTGGGCATGTACTTTGAGGGTATTAAAATGGTGACAGTGATGGAAAAACCTAGTGATAGCTGTTTTAAATGCTGCCATTTATCACTTTTTATTGAAACACTCTCATAGGAACTACATAACCTCAAAGCATAACTGCTGCTTTTAAGAAAGGGAGCTGCTATTAAATAAACATATAGGGTCTCATCAGATACCTCTCCATCTGGCATTTATTGTGGACCATAGTGGGTGTATGCTGCTCTAAGCACAGTGTGCAGTTCCAGACAGACACTAAAAAGTATATTGTGTGCTTTAAACGCAATTTGTATTACTCAAAGCTTAGCACATCTATCATATTTGTATAGATGAGTTCAGGAGAGTGGTGGCTAATTGAGTGATGAAGTGGGTATTCTGTGACGGTAAAGGCAATTCACAAAGCAGCCAATTCGATTTGTGCTGCTTTCCTGATAATTTGTTGAGGTGGACAATACTTGTGCTTTTTTATCACTTTTGTTGAATCGAGAAATAAAGTCAGTATACACTTGTGCTCCCGGTTTTTTGTGTAAGATTTGAAATTTGAACGCATGAAGTTCCAGAAGGGTAAATTGTTTGCCCAAATTTGGGGTCATGAGCAGAAAGCGGAACACATCTAGTTTTGAGTACAGAAAGCTGCACTGTCCTGTGAAATCCCTGCTTTAACCCCTTCGTGACTGACGACGTACAGTGTAAGGTTAGTCTTAGATGGACACACAAATTAAGGACCTACTTCAGCTAACACATTTTTATTTCTCTTAAACTATGCTTTTCTGAACAATTTTGTTTATTAAATCGAACCCTCCCCTGACCAAGTGCTGTCCCACCTGGTTTTATTCTCGTAGTTACACAGCCTTTCCTCTAAAAAATTGCGGCGCCATACTACGCTTAAGCGCCACAGCCCTGCTCATCTAATGGAAAAGCTGTACTAACTGCAGCTTCACTTGTTCGCTCAGAGTACAGCTTTCCCATAGAAAGACAGCACTGGGGAGGGGAGAATGGTTACACTGTGTCCCCTCTGACAAAAGCAGCATTCAGCAGGGAGGAGAGAAACTTTCAGGAGGCCGGGCGGGGAGGAGAGTGCTTTGAGCGTGTCACAGAAGGCCGAGCTCTCCTCCCGCACAGCCCCACTCGGCCTCCTGTGAAAGGCAGAGACTCAGGATGGAGAATGGGAGTCAGCTGTCAGCCGTGTCACAGGAGGCTGAACTCTTCTCCCTGTACTGCCTGCTCTTCCTCCTGTGACAACCGAAGGAGTCAGGATGGAGAGTGGTTACCAGCGCTCAAGGATCAGCTGATCGTTAAGTGTTTGTAAATAATTGAGGACATAGTATGTTTACTGTGTCCCCAATTATGAATGAACAGAAAGTGCCCTACATCACTTCCTGTTCATTCATGATTGTGGACATAGTTACTCATACTATATCCGAGGTTTATAAATGGTAAGGAAGACTCAGCATTGAGGCTTCCTGTTTATTCATAACGGGCTGCAGAAAACGAGGTCGAGGACTCTGTGTCCTCAATCTCTTTTTCAAAAGGTAAATATCAGGGGTATGTTTAGACCTCTGATATTTCCCAAGAGCTCCCAACAGTAAAGT